ACCCCCCCCCCCCCCCCCCACACACACACACACCTACACACCAAAAACAAAACAATACAACAACAACAAGAAACAACCCACACACGCACAAACCACCTTAAAGTATGAGCAGATAAGTTGTGGTTTCCACTTTTTTTTTAGGACAACTGTTCCTGCCAGCTAGACTGAAACCATAGCCACCCTAGACTACTCTATGTGATTCCGTCTCGGCGATACGTGTAGTGTACAAAGATCGTGTATAACAAGATAGTTCACTCCTCTCTTTGTTGAGCCAATTAAAAACGTGTCCACAAAATTCGGTGCCCCCCCCCCCCTACCTTTTCGAAAAAGCGCGGACTTTTCGAACAGAGTTACCCTATTTGTGTGAAAAACAATAAAAGTGAAACTAAAAAAAACTGTGCTATTCTTCTTCTTCTTCTGGAGAAACCTGACTATTCATAATGTATTTATAGAGGCACCAGCCATCCATCTCCAGGTGCTGTTTTAGGCCGTTAGTTCTGGAGAAACAAAAGTGCAGCGCCATCTGAACCAATGCGCGGACTTCCGCGGACACTTTTTTGACTGAGTGAACGATCTTGTAATGTACGATCTTTGTAGTGCAGAAGGAACAGCTGTGCAATAATTATAAATACTGACAAACCGAGTTCTTTCTTGTATAGGTTCAGTTCGGCCAGCTTACGCTACAGACACAACACACGTACACAGAGTCACTTACTACTTGTTCGTTGGTTTGATTGAGTACAGTGTACAGAGACCGTGAAATCTTCACCTTTCGTGAATTGTATTGAATGTATAAATAGTACACATTTTGTCGTCGTCGTCGTCCTCGTCTTTGCTGTTGTTTTTGTTGTTGTTGTTCTTGCTGCTGCTGCTGCTGCTGCTGCTGCTGCTGTTGTTATTATTGTTGTTATTGCTGTTCTGTGTTGGTGTACTATAATGGTCTCACCCCAATGACAGGAGACGTGACATGGCGACGTCAGACTTTCCACACACTTGAAGAAGAAAGAATTAATACTTCGAGTGTGTGGAATTGCTTTTTCAACGCCGTGCACACATCCCAGTGGTGGGCATTTATTGACTTCTTGAACCGTTTCATAAATCATTTATTGTTTTTTTGTTTTGACTACTTGAACTGTTTCATAAATCATTTATTGTTTTTGTTTTTAACTTCTTGAACTGTTTCATAAATCATTTATTGTTTTTGTTTTTAACTTCTTGAACTGTTTCATAAATCATTTATTGTTTTTGTTTTGACTACTTGAACTGTTTCATAAATCATTTATTGTTTTTGTTTTGACCTCTTGAACTGTTTCATAAATCATTTATTGTTTTTTTGGTTGACCTCTTGAACTGTTTCATAAATCATTTATTGTTTTTGTTTTTAACTACTTGAACTGTTTCATAAATCATTTATTGTTTTTGTTTTAACTTCTTGAACTCGTTGACCAAACATCTGGGTGACTGGCGGCCGACAAGGGGAGACAATCACGTCTACACATGCCAGGGAGATTTGCACTTACCTGTCTCACTGTGTTGCAATTGGGCTGGAATCGTTTTTTTTTAAGCCTTTAATTGCTTTGTTTTATTATTAGTAGAACAAATGGTCGCTTTTTAAGCACAAGGGGGCTACCCCGAAAAGTGCTGTTTTGAAAAAAATCGAAGGTAAAGTTTTTGCCCCTTGTTCAGTTTCTTTAAAAG